CTCCCTCTCTCTCCAGCCAACTCTTACTCCCTGTTTACCCGTGCTCTCTCTGCACCCAGTCTGATTCATGTCAATAATTCATATTGATCTGTGATTTGTCATCGCTTATCTCAGAAATGACACCAGTCCACATAGGTTGCATGACCACCCTACTATGGATAGATCATATTAGATCAGTGAGATATTCGTATATCCATGGATAGATTAATATCAAACCTATGGTATAAACTGTGGAATCCGCTGTATGATGGGGGAGAGAGAGGGAGAGAGAGAGGGAGAGAGAGAGAGAGAGAGAGATATATAAAGACAGAGAAATTATGCAGATAGACATATGGAGATAGAGAAAGGGAGAAGGAGAGAAAGAAAGAAAGAGACAGAGGGAGAAAGACAGACAGATAGATAAAGAGATAAACCAAAAATATAGGGAGAGATACAGACATAGACAAAATAGAAAGGTGGCGAAAACATAGAGACAGGTAAGAGATGAAGAGACAAAGGGGCAGATTGACTCAGAAAAATAATTGCGAGAGAGAAAGAGAGAGAGAGAGAGAGAGGGAGAAACAGATATAATAGAGGGATAGACATATAGCCACGAAGAGACAGCAAAAGAAAGATATATCTGAGGTAGATAGATAAATAAGGAGGGGGATAGAGGGAAAGGGAGAGAGAGAGAACGAAAGAGCAAGAGATAAAGAAAGAGAAAGAGAAAGAGAGAGAGAGAGAGAGAGAGATGGCAGATGACATACAGATGGAGTTTATATACAACGCAAACGCATTATATAAATATTAAAGTACAACTGAAAAATACTGAATCATGCTCCATATTCCCTCTATAACATTGCCTAGTCATCAGGGTTTATATTCTTGAAATGTTACCATGATTACCGGAATATGAATATCCGAAGTTAAAAAACAATTAGTATGTGCGATAAATCAGGTATTTCCGAAAGGAAATGAACAAACCAATTTTTCTGTTGTTGATTTATCTAATGTCTGTAGAATATCATGTGAAAACAATAAAGCAAAATTGTATTTTAATGCGAATATCATCAGATCGAAACAGTTTGACATTGTAGAAGCGTCTACCGCACTAGTATTACCCGTGACGTATTCGCACTTTTATACAAATTCCAAGGAAAACATAAAAATCAAGAGAATAACAGGTAAAAGTTTGCTCTGTTGTTGATTTATCTAATGTCTGTAAACTTTCATGTGAAAACAATAAAGCAAAATTGTTACATGAAGTATATTTCAATGCGAATATTCAGATCGAAACAGATTGACCGCACTATTGTATGTGTTGTACTCGCACTTTTATTCAAATTTCAAGGAAAACGTAAAAGTCAAGAGAATAACAGGTAAACGTTTGCCTTATTGTTGACTCATCTGATGTGTGTAGAGTATCATGTAAAAACAATAAAACAAAATTGTTACTTGAAATGTATTTTAATGCGAATATTCAGACCGAAACAGATTGACATTGTAGAAATGTTGACCGCACTACTATACGTGTTGTACTCGCACTTTTATTCAAAGGTTATATCGTCAACAGTATCTGCACATTAATTAATGAACAATCTATTTTCTGTCTGTGCAAACTTGTCAATATCTACATTTCTTTCATTTCGTATGTAAATAAACCCAGTAAATACAATGTAATTAACAAAAAGAGATGTTTTCAACAAACAGGTGTTCAGAAAAAAACTCTCAATTTAGATTTTCATAAACCGATGAATTTGAGTTTAAATCACATCACACATACTTTTACTTGCTGATCGTGGTATCAAAGTGCTATTCATGTCTAAAAATAAAAACATGCAGTGAAATCGATAAGGGAGACTCAATTGAAGTCAAATTCAATCCGTATTTTTAGAAACAAGTATATCACTTTCCCCTTCTTTACTGCACTTTTTTTGAAATATTAGATAATGTTATTGCATGCGGTTTTGTTTGCAGCATCACATGGTCCTTATTTCTCATTTAAAGGTACTATATCCCTATTGCAGCCAACCTCAAATTCTGTAGAACTTTGCAGGAATTATGAACATGTCATGTTTGTCCTATCTGTGAGATTTAAATGTTAGCAGTGTCTTAATATTCAAATTGTGCAAGGAAACCCGTTTACTTGCTAGACTTTACTGTCAGACACTGTTGAGTGACTGACTGGCTTTTTTTCTTCTTTGGTAATAACATACATAAATTGAGCTGTAAAGGGTACATGACAGTTTGTCTACATCAATAACCCACCTCTTGTGATTGCCAAAATGAAACTGATTGAATCTTTGCGCAGCATAAAACGTACGACCATTCGGTACAATGGTCTGAAAATCAAGACTATTACTTATTAGCTCTATAGCTCCTAAGTCGATTTGACAACTAATAGTCGTTACTTTCCCACTTGAAGACATTTTCAAGCCCCACCTTTTTTAGGGAAGTTCTAAATTAGTATTATCTTTCAAATGCCGTTGGAATTTAACCTTTTAATTTTTTTGGCCTGCAAATGGGACATAGTACCTTTAACATAGCCTATTTGACATGTTAATCTAACATGTTTGGCAGGATATAAGTTACAATTTACTATAGTTAATGTTAAGTGATGGTATTTGTTTTGTTTTTTTCTGTTTCATATCCCCTTTGTTACCATTTCTTTAAATACTCACTGACATTGATAAATTTGAATGAAAAAAAAAAGAAACAATCATAACAGTAGAAACAATCTATATGGGTTAAGTTGAAAACAAAGCTGTACCAATGAGGTTTTATAAGAACGAATGCATATACAAGTAAAGACCCCATTGTCTTTACACTGTAAAAGACAATTGAGTAATAGTTCTTGGGTAATGTAACAGTTTTTATATGTAACATTTTGCAAGTTTGTCGTTTTCTATATGAGCTTTAGTATGAAATATTTCAAACTCACCAGTTTTAAATTTGAGAAAATTAGTTTCTGCTTCGTTATTTCAGTTGAATGTTTTGTTGTTTCAGTTGTTTATAATGCTGTGATAATAATTTTCACTTACTTTATGAAACTCTAAAGAGCACTACATAATCTTATCATTGTAATGACCTCACTTTCAAACACTAACCTCGCCCCTGGTATACATGTACAATCAGCAACACACTGTGCTCCTTCTCCCCTACCCGTGTACCGCTGCTATAAACAGTCCCGGATATTGAATAAGTCAAACTATAATTGTGTTAGTGCGCCGCAACTGCGCACATCTGCGTGTGCTCCTACTCTCTCTTGATACGTGGTATAAAAATATCTGCCGCCTACAACATGCAACATACATCGCAAAATAACGATCAGATACAGACGCTCATATAGAGTTTAATTGACGCACACCTTTTACCGCGAAAGTAACATTTGTTTACCTTACTCGCTCATGGTGGCTTTGGAATTTTATATAATCGGAGTTTCACCGTCACCGTCGTTTGAGATTGTGCTCTATTGACATTGAATTTATTTCGGAGATTTATATTGTTAAGGTTAAGGGAATAACGAAAGGTAAGTCGTATATTGTGATCATACAAGCCTGAAAATGTATTATTTTAAGCAACATTGTGGCTCTTGTAAAAGTAAAGGGTGCCTCTTCATTGCATTGTTGATGTCTTTCCGTTGATTGATATATTTGAATTGATTAATATACATGGTGCTATCATTTCAGTGTGGATTTCAATAGAATATCTGGAATATTATGATATCATAATGATAATACTACTACACTTAAAATATTTGTATATATTTTATTGCATTTGTCTGTGCATTTTTATTTTGAATTTAATATCTGAAAAACAAAAATGAAATCGGTCATGGTACATTTTATTTCAATTGTTTTAATGACTATTGATATATATATATATATATATATATATATATATATATATATATATATATAACTTATACAAATTGTGTAGAAGAGAAGTTCAAACAGATGATATTTGATCACAAATTTTCGATTTTCCTTACGTCAAGCATGAACTTATCTTCTTCATCATCTTTTGCGTCATGTTAATTAATATTATGCCCAACACGTGGACCTAATATCGAATACATATACGTATGTTTTGTTTATATACATTTATATGTATCATATATGTTACAGAGGTGCCTTAAGAGGAATCATTACATTTTTTCTCCCAATATCACATGTCTGTACCTGTACGTAAATCGTACGATATATAATATGGTATCATGTGGTTGATATATCATATTACTTCTGTGTAATCAATACGTACCATTTGTACTTTCTCATCAATAAAATAATTTGTGTGACTTCTTGATTGCGGACCGAGCCAGACAGCTTCCCGTGAGCCATTAACCACTCTAATTAGCACCTTTGATACCTAACAACAACAGACCACTCTCCGTCTGTCAATGAAATTGATTTTACTCTCGAGAGTCCTTCAATCGAATCGCTTTGCTAAATGTCTCTTGATTAGTCACGTTAATGGCACACGTAACACCTTAATTTTATCACTAGTCTTGTTCTAATGTTCTAATGGATAGAGTGTGTTCTGTGCTGTTGACGAGGCATAGGATGTTTATGCGTTGATTGCAAACGTGTTAATTAAAGAGATAAGTGCGGCGCCTTGGGAATTGCCGATGTTTTTTTTTAATATCATTTGAAATATTGCTGTAATACGATGTAAATTCAAAAGATCACTGTTCAGAAAAAAAGAAGATTAAAGATATTCCAAGGATACCAAGGTGCAGGAATTCCAAATCGCCGTGGGGTTATTGTTCGCCTGTTTATGAATATTGGTAATAATCCAATTGTTATACAAATTAATTACAGGCTGAAAATACAATGGCATCTACACAATAATAGCCATTGCAGATAAAAAGAGGTTTATGACATAGTAGAGATAATGTAGTTAATACAAGTCTAAGAAACGAGAAACATATTTTCCACTCTAAAGTGAAGAAAAAACGATGGTTCGGCTAGTTATGACGTTTGAAATAAAATATTTGTATCATCATTCTGTTTCGTTTTCAGTTCCTGGTCCTGTTACGGAGCTCCAGGTCTTAAACCGTACATTGGATTCTATTGAGTTACGGTGGGAGGCCCCAAAGAGTCTCAACGGTGAATTACTCGGCTATACGGTAAGTTCAATATTGTTCGTCTACCTTCAGCAAAGAAGCTTTTGATCGCTGATAATTAGATAAGTAGTAAACAAACCTGATGGAAATGACTATATCAATCAACATAATGCCGTTTCAATAGTCTTATGCATCACTCTTTGAAATGTGCAAGCATCACCATGACATATGATATAATCCGATCATGATGTCGTCACGTGATATAATAATTACACGATTGAGTCCTTTCATCAGCAAATAATAAACAAAGTTAGAAGGAAATCGTATTATTATAGGAGAAATTTTACTTGTTGTTTGTGAAAGTATTGTGGTTACTATGTTCTCATGGATAATGTTCCAAATTTAGACAACATGGGGAGGACGGCAACAGGATCTCCCCTGAACATGACGTGCATGACGTCAGAAAAGTGGAAAGCAATTACACTTGGTATCCTGTTTCTCTTGAAAACCCTGAAGGGGAATACACATCCAACAATAAAAGAAGGGAAACAGCAAAACGTTCCCCCCAGCCGTAATCTTTAAATCGTGTTAAAATCTTAATATAATATACTGGCCTTAACAAAATTGGCACGATTGCAGAAACACCGCTTCTTTACAAACACGCACCGAAAACAACCAATTAGGTTTCATTCTACTTTTATCTCTTTACCCTTGATTGGTCACAACCACTGTTCTTGGTTTCATTTAAATATGATCCTCCCTCCACAACCTGTTTGGGATCAAGGGTCTCTTTATTTAGAAGGAGCCCAAGCTAGGGGTACACTCATGCCTCCTATCAGAGAAGATCCTAGCCCATCGATTCTGACAATGGATGGTTTGGTGCGTGATGGAGATTGCCTTAAGCACATGACACGCTGGGTTAATACCCTCCTTGATGATTCACTGTTTGCATAGAAGGGGGTATCATCATTGATCATAGACCCTATCTGTGTCACCAACCTGGTGGAGGGGTGTCATACAGGGGTAAGAGATAGGGGCAGGGGTATGTTACCTTATATCACTTATCACGATTATACCACTTATCCAGAACACGATTATTTCACATAGCGGTTCAACTTGCTCAGATGGGTATTCGAGAGATACACGAGTTTGAATAAAAGTTTCAATAGATAAGATAAGATCAGATAAGATGAGATAGAATGCATTTGTTGGTCTCTTTCAGACATTAAAAGAAATTTGTACAGACAATTTGTTGCAGTGGAAATTTTGATTTCTCCAAATAATCATGCACATTTAGACCGAATGTTTCACTTATTTAAAATAGAATAATTCATTTAAAGACCATCTTCCTTTGCTCTTCGTTGAGATTCCTTGTACACTGTATTGTAATCTCTTGCTATTTGTTTCTTCAATCCACCATAGCTTCCTTTCGTGCATCTGATTGAATTCCAAGATTGTCAGTTTGAGGAAGTTTGGTGCTAATAATGGATTAAGGGTTAGCTAATGGGATGGTTTAGCTCGGGAAAGGATAGACCCCCCAAAAGCAGCTGTCCAGAGTTCCACAGGCCACATTTTATATGAATCACTGCATTAAACCTTTATATTTGACGTCACTGATTTCCATTGTTCGTCATTGTTCGAATATTTAGAGTACGCCATTATCTACCACTATCCTCTGGCCATGTGTATTAAGACTATCCACTTTACCCCTGCTGTGGAAAATAGTGGTCTCATGTTCTCCACCTTTTAACCCATCACGTAGGCTCTAGAAAATCCTCACATCCCCCTGTGAGCAAGGATCATATTACGCCTCTTACTCCGGGCCGTATCACTTTCACCAGTCGCATGAATCGCAAACCATGGGGCTCGATAAAGGGGTATTAACCCCATTTTTCATAATGGCGTCGCACCCTGTTCCCCGGTCCCATTGTTCTTGTGACCCAGTCTTTCTCGCTTCGTCACATCTAATAGCCCCCCTCGGGGTAAATGGTGGAAAATGTGCCATTTTCTTTTGTTTGGCTGTCATTAAGGTGCGAATTCAATCTGTTATGGAATCTATGCCCTAGGTGTTACTCTACCCGTCATCATGATCATAATCGTTTAATTTTTTGTCATGATTCGTTCCCGTGAACTAGTTTTTTTTATGTTAAAGCACCATATAATCATGAGCGCACATTCATACATTGATGTAATGCATGTACCAATAAACTGAATTAGTCATAATACAAGATGTCAATCAATCAAGCAATCAATCAATCAATCAGTCAGTGCTTGCTATAGATCTCACCATTGTGTAACCATACAAAGATTTACATTAACAATTCTTTTAGTTACTAACGTATATCTATAGTCAATATTTCTGCTCTATCAGGCTCGCAAAAGTCAGTTTGAAGTGATATGTAATATTTCCTTACTATTGTAAGAGTTGGTCCTAAAATAAATTGATCTATATAATTATATCTCTGCTATTAGAATGGAATTATTAAAACAAGCATATCATTATAATTCAAATTCAGGGAATAGAGGGTGAAACAAAGGGTTTTTTTTTCAAATAAGAAAACGGCTCTTATTTGTTAATGAAATAAAATATTATGTGGGCCCATTAAAAGTTTCAAAATAATCAGGATTACCGGACTATGATAATCGAACTGTTATGGAAAAATATTATAAATAGATTTCTGAATTAATATTTGCCTTATGGTCATCAATTATTTGGCCCCAAAGTCTGTAAACATGAAACATTATGTTTTTCGCTCTTTCTTGTATTTCTTTTATTTCTAAATCGGGAATTCTATCACCGATTAATATTAGCAGGAGATAAGCGGTTTTACCTTAAATGTCAATGACTATGTATGATTCATTCGATACTGCACGAAATTATCATCATATATCATGTTTCCATCGTTAATACTGATCAGATGAGATGAAATATTCATATCGGTAACACATGATTAACATCTAAAGAGTCTGTGAGAGAGGGGGAGGAGGCGAGAGAGAGAGAGAGAGAGAGAGATAGGGAGAGAAAGAGAGAGAGAGAAAGAGAGAGAGAGAGAGAGAGAGAGAGAGAGAGAAAGAGGGCAGAGAGCGAGAGGGAGAGAGATAATAAGATCGCGTACACCAAAAAGTCACTAATCTCATAAAAAACATTTATACACACAAACACACGCACCAGCAGGCACAAAAGCACCAGCACGCACACACGCACCATCACACACACCCACTATACACACACGTACACACACATAGAGAGAGAGAGAAAGAGAGAGAGAGGGAAAAAAGAGGTCGCTAACACTAAAAAGAGGCTCATTGGTACGTCATCTCCCTTACAGCGACACCATGTTCATATCGCTCCTATAATCCACTGGGGTACCTAATAAAATGTGATACCATGCATTCAAGTATATACAGATAAAGTGTTCTTGTTGAAATTTCAGAATCCAATGAACAATGCTAACAGCAGCGCATAGTTATCTCTAATTAAGGCCAAATTAAGCCACGCCTTAAACTAAATTAGACTAGATTAAGGTCAAACGATTAAACGATTTCATTATTTGAAACATATTCAGGTTTCAGGATCCAAATTCGGCATACAGTTTTATAATAATCATAGCCTAAGGTTAAATGAAATGATAATCACTATAGATTGAATAGGATAATATAACAGTTTAATAATGTGTACCGTTGTTCTCTTGTTTCGATCGATAATTATAGTTCATTAAGGCAAGCAAATCATGATCACTAGATAATGAAAAAAATTATATCTTTAAATAAATGTGTATTCTTGACTGAGATCCAAATTATTTCGAATCAAATTTTCAAGTTTCGACCAATATCGAATGCACAACTTTAGAGATGATGTTGATAATCAATTAATATAATCCCATTATCCTGAAGGTTTATGCATCATGCAGTCTTCCAGCACTCACTAAAATAGTTGGCTATGTTCCATTAAATGAGCCAAACATTGATGCCATGTTAGATAACAATATCTTAACTTCGCTACTACACCTCGAAACGACAATCGAGGCATGGCTTTATCGGCTAAGACATGTGCTTTCAGTTCTGTTCACGGGATTTCTGCGAAAAGTTGGACGGTATCCATGACAACGAAGGAAAAGGGCGCATTTTTGTGTGGCATGGAGAAAAGTCGCAAAACTTTGAAATCGAGGGCATTACCGGACGGCAGTGTAGACCATTTCGGTTGTGATACCTCATATGTAGTATGTATAGCTCAGTCACGTGCTTCAGCGTTGGATCAAGGCCGCCCAAATATGACGATTTATGATCGCAGATGATCCCAATCTTGCGATCACATCCTCCGATAGCCTTATACCTTGGCTCCATCCTTCGTTATTTAAAGAAAAATGAAAAATGGGTTCTCTGCTTGGTCTAAACTTAGATTCTGTGGAAAAACAAGCGACATGAGATCCGGGTATGGGGAAAGCATGTGAAGAAGATACACCAACTACAGCTTGAGGACGTCACGGCGAGCGGAGATTGGCACAGTGTGCTCAGATCTTCTGAAGATTACCAAACCAAAACAAAACTCAAGGTTCCTTAGTCGAGCGATCATGGACCTATAACATATAGGAACCATAAAACAAACCACCGATACACTTCATTACATTGAATTTCCTCAGCTTTCTTGTGGCTTTAAGTTTATAGGGTATTGCTATAAATAGCTCGGATGTATAAAACAGGTGGGTGTACTCCCAAAACATCGATGTAAAACTAGCAACCTACCCTATCCTGGCAAATTTGCTGAGATCTTATCGGAACAGCAATATTCACCTAGAATTAGTTGTAAACATGTTGTGCACATATTGGCCTGGCATCCGACTTTGGCGTCATATAAAAATGTCAAGGAATTATTTGAAAATTGAACTTCCAACTCCCAGATGGTCATGGCTATGATGTCATACGGAATGTGCACACTCATACAAATCGAGATTTTGTTACACAATCCAAGAATTTTTCTTGCTATTGTGTACACAGCCTGTAGTATTTGCGAAGTTAATGCCCTCTGTACAGCTTATACAGCTGAATTGCTTCATAAATTGATCTGCAGAGCTTCTCTCTTTCCCTTTTTTTAAAAACGGCACAAACACCTGTAGTTTTGTGCATCTTTTAAATACATTTATCAAAACAACAAGACAGAAAAACGTTACAAACACAGTGCACCTTTCATGCTTCAGATAGAGTGGGGAAAGAAGAAGCAAGAGGGATATAAAACAGAATTAAAGGTAGACAACATAGAACTATGAGGTAAAAAGTGAAAATCACTAACAAGTTGATTAGGGTTGGCTTTGGTCACCGGTGTGACAGATTAAAAACAGACAACCTGCTGTAGACTGTACTGTGTCTTTCAAAGGTCGACGAAACCTATGAACACAGTCTATTTCTCGTACATAATATATACGATCATACCCTCTACACAAATGCTCCTAGAAAAGACCGAATGTTGACAATAACATTCAACATAGTCAGACCAGAGGACATGAGACGTCTAGGAAATTGTGTTTGCCGACGAGTTCCTTTGATCTAATTAGGCGCCAACAACACATTCATCTGGTCATGCGGGCTACCGCATTGACCAAATGTGTGCAACATTCTGCAGAACTCAAAGGCTACAGTATTGTACTAACATGTGTTAGTTCCAACTGTTTTGTTTACTGTGCCAGTACGAATATCTCTCCGTTGGATAGATAGATAGATTCTCCTTCAATTTTAAATTCTACATATAGGCCCTAATTTATCAATACATTTTTTCTCGAAAATCTCAGAAAAGCAAGTTTGATGTTTATCAGACAGAAGAATCAACAAGCACTCTGGACATTGGGATACGATAACGCGTAGAAGGTGAAGAAGATGAATGCAATGCAGCAATAGTTTACCACGAGGTATTCATCATGTCCATACCGAATAAGGATTCGTTAACATTACCTGAAGGCATAACGAAACCGTCCGAAACCTGTGGTTTTGTGGGTGACATGCTTACGCCATTGGGTTTTGTTTTAGTGTGACGTATTGAGATATCTTAAAGCGGGACTGCACTGCTTGTAGCTACTTTCGCCTTCTATATAGAAACCGATGCCTAAGCGGTACCCTTTTGCCCCCCATGATCCCCTTATCTTACGCTAATTGAGAGCTGATTTGATGAGATAACCACATGCCAGTGACCAGGCAGAGAGGACTAATCCCTCCTGGCCAAACTAGTGCGGACAGGCTTTAACATTGTGTCTAAATGTTTATCTTGTTGAATTTCCACAGATTTCTTATGTGCCTGTTGTGAAGAACGAGCCAAAAGATGGCAACCTTTCCACCAAACGGCCTATAATGAACATACATAATACAAGGTCTACTCATATTCTCGTATCCGAGCTCGATCCCGCCACAGAATACATCTTTCGAATTTCAGCCAACAACCGTGTCGGAGACGGCACCGTCATCGTCATCACTGAATATACTAAGGTCCCAGGTAAGAGAATAAACTCATAAAGTAATGCTTGCCTAATTCTTGCAAAGAGTATGTCGATACTTTATGCATGAAATCAATTTCTACTACAAACACAAATACTAACAGTTCATGCGAATTGATCGGCTTGTGATACGATTTTGTTTCGGTTTTCTTTCATTTCTCTATGTTATTAACGTGTGAGCACAGACATTGCTATTAACTATATAGGAAACGCTTCTTGACAATGATTTTTAGTATAAATAAATAGATTGTAAACCAGTTAACAAATGCATAGTAAACACGGTATGTATTAATTCTTTGAGGGCGTGTGTAATTACTTATGGCAAGCCTCTTTTTTTTTTTTTTTACCTGAAATTGATAATATTTTTGGTCTGAAAACAATATAAAAAAAAATCACAACAGCAAACAACAACAAAATATATAATTTAAGAATTGGCTAGAAGATAGCTGACATGTTAAAGTCACCAGGAATTTTGAAATGAGCTACATTTGATCACATTGTCGTAATGTAAACCAGCTGTAACAAGTATGTATTGAGTGCATCCTAAGTTCGTCCTCGGAAGGAAATGTTAAACTGTTTTTAGATTTGAATTGAATTAATTTAACAGACAGCCAGAATGGTCACCTAAATCATTGTCCGGCTAAATTCAATTAGGTCATTTGCCAAGTTTCCTTTCTCCATGGGCAGTACATAACTTGGCACAAGTCACATATTCTTGAATAACATGGGACAAACTCACAGAAATTCAGGAAATGAGTAGGTGACGATAGAAATCTAAAATATGGAATGTGCCTTGTGACATACACAGATACACTAGTTATGTTGCAGTAGTTAAAACCAACTCTTTAACTGTATTTAACACATTGTAAACATGATTTCTAGTTAAAATATTGGTCATACAAAAAGCGTTCTATTTCTGTCATTCCTTCATTGCGTATTCAGTTAATTTTAAAACCATTCAAACATAAACTTAAGGCAACAATACAAATGATAACATAATATTTATCGGAAAAGAGAACAAAGACATTTGAGCAAAAATGAAAGTCCGTAAATGGGGCTCGACAAACGAGCTATAAACAGTGTAGTATAAACCATTGTTATTGGACATAAGTATTGTTTCAACAAAATATGTATGTTGCTAACGACACTCAAGACACTCAGCCTTGGACACTTGGAGTTGAAATGAAAGGAACATAGTTGCTGAATTAGTTTACAAGCATAACGTTTTGTTGAATAAGCAGATTAGATTCACCAAATCTGGTATGGACCACTCTTTGATAAGATCTTTCCCATCTTGTGTTTTCATAGCACCAATCAGCCCCAAAGCTCCTTCTGCATCATCGACTGTCACAGAGGACAACATGGTGACTCTACAGTTACAACCACTGACAGATTCCGTAGTCAGGTAAGTCATTTTTATCTTTATTATTCCATTTTGTTCTCTATTTTTTTATTAATTTGAATACAGCATCTCGAAATTATCTATGACGTATTCAGATATTGCTTACTACTAATATTACTACTACTACTACTACTACTACTACTACTACTACTACTACTACTACTACTACTACTACTATCATACTACTAAAATAATGGTCTTATTATGTTGGGTAGCGTCATCAGTATTAACACCGCTCTTCCCGAGGGCCTAGCAATCATATATGATTACCTCAGCATTGTCAGATACCATTATAACCCTCCTGAGGTGAAGGGGGTAAATGTGGGTAAAAACACATTGTCCAAAGATGTAAGCACCTTGAAAGGGCGCAAACTAGGGACCTCTAGACAAACGTGTATGCACAATGTTAGTTGCATTTTACTTTCTTGGCTTTCAAACCGCTAGGGGGGGGGGGGGGGCTCGCTGGCTGTAACCTATCCTGGATACACCACTAATTACAAAGGTTCATTGACTATGAAATATTATACAGTGTAAATTTGTCTTAATGCAGTGTTTCACCGGAGAGCACTGCTTATAGGCTATCATATCATGCACCGTGTATTTTCAAGATTATGCCAGCGGAAAACAAAGATTATGTCGGCGGAAAACATGGCTGACAGTGAGATTAAACCGCCCCAAATACGCCAAATAGTACAAAAGCCTCTGAATATTAGAGGCGACTTCAGAAAACCTCGGATACTACCGAAAGCAGAATGTCAACACACCCTGAGCTCGTATTATCTCACCTAATCCCTTGTTCGCCTTTTGTCTATCTTGGAACCAGTGTTGTGTCTGTCGTGAAGCATTTGGCGGGATCTTAATGCTAGACTATGTTTTCGCTGGCAGTATCATGCCGTCTGACTCATGAAATCTTTGATTTCCACCGTCTTGAACTACCTAGCAAGAAATTGCTGTTAAATGCGCCCTTCCTGTAAAGCAATTCTCTCTGCGCTAACTGAACTCTGCATGCACAATGTAATTCCGACCTGAACCATTTAATCTTTCTTTTTCCTACTCTCTTCAAGTCCTTATTCCCCGGCCCCCCCCCCCCCCCACTCAGTGTTATTTAGGGTACGCATATGCGTGTTCCAACCGACCCCCCTTTTCAGCAAAAGTCCGGTGTGTAAAGTCAATACGGCTCGACCTTTTTCTTTTGTATACGAGCCTTTTTCCGCACCCCCCCTTTTCAGCAAAAGTCCGGTGTGTAAAGTCAGTACGGCTCGACCTTTTTCTTTTGTTACGAAAAGGACATTTTGGCAACACGCATGCGGTCATTTTGAAACCTGAGTGGGGGGGCCGGGCCTTATTCTTCGACCTCTTTTCTCTCATTTTCTCTTTTTCTTTGAATTCTTGATATCTTTCCTCCCTTTATTTTTGTACCGATAAACATATTTTCCTGTTCTTTCTCCTTCGATTTTCTTCCTTTATACTTGTTTTTATTTTTCTTAATTTTTTCTTTTCCCTTTTTACTTTTCGTCTCTCCTCTTTTCAGTTTTCCGTTGACCCTTAGTATTCATTGTTTGATTAATTTGTTTAACTAAAGGATGCTATTAATAGATTTATTCTTTTTTATATTCAAAACGCGCTGGATGCGAATTCAAAGCTACAAGCTTACCATAGCCAATAATTAGTTTGACGTCATGTGACAATTCTTTTTCCCTTGTTGCGCTGGACATTACACATGTCGCTATAAGACATCTTTCCTGTAATCATGCGAATCGTACACCTGTTAATTTCGTCTGTCAGATATCACTCAGGAGACAAGGATGTTTTCAAAAACAGGTTTAGCTCACTGGGAAAGTCAAGAGGGAAAATAAAATACCCCAAGCACACATGACGTCATGGCCCATGCAGCAATCTTGATTGCGAACGTTTGAGAGTTCAGATAAATATATTTTGGAAACCATAAAACTAACTTGCAAGAACTTAGTTTTCAAGGTTATTTCATGACAAATGTTAGACGACGCATGCAGAGAGATCTATATTTTCATTTCATTATTTACCTGTTGGTTGCTTTATACTTCATTAACGAATTCAGGTAATTCAATATCCTGTCCCTAAAGCGGATTCACAGTTTTTTCGATTTCCAAAAAAACAAATCATGCTTTTGTTATTGTCAAAAAACTCTTGACAATCCAGCTGCGTTTAATATTGTTTGACAGATAAAGAAAAATGGGCCTCCCAAGTCCTGCTTTTTGTCGTATTTGACCTAAAATTAACGATCCTTGCAAAATTTTCATTTCAATCTTTCAATTGTCAGGCTCGTATCATCAAATACAAGCAAGACGTGAGAAATATCGGGAAAGGGAGTCTAATGGGTCTAACGTTGGCCTTCCATTTTTGTTATCGGGCTTACCTGTTTCGCCAATATTTTCTCTATACGTTATATTTTACATGCACTTTCGAATCTCACACAGGTAATCCTTTATTGCTTCCCTATGGCAATTAAATATCAAGTCAACCTCGGTTTAATTGCTATTATCCTTCACTGATGAATATCTTAATCAGCCTCAGGGCTTAGTCAAAAGGTCTATGAAGGTCTTTGAACCTCTTATTAGGTAAATTAAACTTTTTATTAATAATTGGATACATGATTACGGCTATATAGGTCACTACTTTCAATTTCTCACTCTTGTCTTAATGATGTGGTAGCCTTCATTTTAATATCATTATCTCAAATCACCTTTCTTACAAATTGAAAATTTGTTATATCTTGAAGTAATGCTAAGAGAAAACCGCTTTGGTTTTATATCCACTCGCTTGAAGAGTTGCAAAATTCATCCACTTAATAATATTACTTTTGAAAGGGAGCCTTTGTTTAGCCTTCTTCTTGATTTTTAACGATGACAACCATTTTTCATTTTCCTGGCCTTTTGGTAGCATCTGCTTTAATATTGGAGTAATTTGTCCTCAAAATTAGTCCAAAAAAAACCGTAATCAAATTTTCTGAAGGCTACCTTTTATCGAACCTCTGTTTTTAATTGCTTTGTATTTCAAAGGAAAAAAGTCCACGTTTTTTTTTCTTTTTTCCTCCATAACATTCCTAGTGGAATGTTAAACGCTTTTTATTAATATTGATAACCATTTCACTCAAGCGTGACGGAAGCCTGTTTTAGTTACGTGGTCGAGTTGTTTTTCAGATCTAGCCAGGTATTTTTTGACAGCAAGTCACGATTTGGTCGTAAGTTTTAATTGATCACGAAGGATATGGTAATCTCGATGTTATTGTCAAACGTCCGCCTCATCCCCGTGAAACAGTCGAAACCTGTCTTCCGTATTGGGACGTGTCTTAATAAACGGAATAACCCGCGGTTTCTCATCGGTTAGAAAAGATATTATTGTTTTGACGTTTAACGTTGTCGATTTGATGACTTCATGAGCTTTGTGTGATTCGGGTGATGATGGCAAAGATGTTGTTTAACTTTGCTGTTTGTCCTCCTTTGCCTCACACCTCTTCTTCATTTTAATTTCCCTTTGTCTGTTTGGATACTGAATGATTTGATTCGGTTGCACAGTCAATTAGTTTTCTTAACATAAAAATGTTCCTTGAAGGATAAATCCTTGAAATATTTAATTATTGCATCCTTCAACATACGACTTACGAATCAACGAGTACAAAGACCAACATTTTTTAGACATATACAATATAACTACGATGATTTCCCCTGTCACCTTAATAGAGGAATTTTACTGTATACATACAACAAGATATATTGATTAAAAGGAAAAGTTTGCAAACGATGATGAAATGCTTTAAAAATCGAATGAAATTTATTGAGATGGTTCATCAAAATATCGAAAATGCAGGTGGAATCCTCATTTCGATTTTATCACATCTCTATTTTAATTTCCTATGTCACTCCATATTTGACGACTGAAAAAGTATAATTTAGATTAAATTAAACTACTCTAGGTAATAATTCAGTGGATTAGACTTCATGTCCACCGTCTCGCAACTGGTCGTAAATTGAGGGGTTAGTGTACTTTTTATTTTTTATTCAACGGTCATTTATAGCGTTTTAATTAATAATTTTTCCCGAAATACGTGGATAAATCGGAAATCCCAAACCCAAATGCGATCCGCTTGGGCATAAGCCAGGCAATAACTCTTCCATCCGATTTCTATATCGGGAAGAAATTATTGGGATGTGTGCAATCCCTCAATTTCCTTGAAATGTAGAAAATTAATGTACAACTGTCTAACCATCAATTAAGGGAAGATGCTTAGTTAATAAGAAAGGGGGCCGTCACATCTAAATTGACGATGATGGCAGCGTTTATTGAACTAATATTGCGTATTGAGCATGTATTCTGACTTATGTGGTGCCTAAAGCTCGCAGAAGATGCATTGAGTAGAGGCATTTAATATAATTCAAAGAGGTTTCTAAATCTGATTGTCTTCTATTTTATCAAGATAAAAATTCAATAAAATTTGAGGATCTCGTATTTGAGTATGGATGAATCATCAGCACTTTTCCATTAAAATGCAAGGTCCATGACTTTACCATATAGTACCACTTCTCACAAGTACTGTAGGATACAGATTCAAAACGAGGGCGCCCTCATTTGAAGGTGCACCAAAATTTGGCATTTTATAGCTGGACATAATCTGGATATAAGGTCATTTAAATAGCACAAACAATTATCCATTTGGGCACGACAATAACCGCACTAGTGTTAGGCAAATATTTCTCTCTCAGAACTTTGTCGGTCTACAACACCATACCGTGTCCAAAATGTCGTACACAGAGGATGTAGTATTGCAGACGTAATGTATTAGCATTTCTGATCATGACTAATGCTATAAGACGGGAAGTGCAATGAATGTTGGTCCTTAAATAGATGTTTTTTATCAACAACACTAGCACTAAGGCGATGAAACCAGTCCACCCACTAGAAATGATTAACTCATCGATCCCCAACGGCAACAGTAAACAAAGATTCATATATGAACCCGAATTGATGGGTTAATTTAATAATAATCATGGTAAATGTCATCATTTTACTTGGAGCACGAAAAGGGCAAAGTTTTTTAATACCGAACATCCTGTGTTTAAATTGTGTTCTGTGGCCATTCTTTCTTGGAAGCTGGTTCCATAGCCGTCAAAAATAATTTGTGCCCACGCTAAGAAACAAAGCCAAATATTGGGTATTTTCGTAGTAACATGATCTCAAACACTTAAAAATAAACAACGGCGGTCTCATTATCCTTGCACGTCAACCTATTAAATTATGCGAACAAAAAGATAATTAGTTACATAACCCAAACAGGATTTCTGTAGGCAATACATTAAGGTAATGAATCGCCCTTATATTGATTTCTTGAAAGTCTTTGCGATCGTGTTTCGTATTTTCTGGATAAGACGCTTTTCTAGGTTAAAACAAAAGTTGATCTTCCCTGATGCTATCACTTCCCAGTTCACCACTGCCATCTCTCATCCTAGCTTTGTATAGAAATTGTTTTTTTGAGAGAGCGTCAACCATATTTTGTGGATTGTACAACGAATCGGATACACGAGGATAACAAAAAACGAAGTCTCTTTTATTAGAGGGGTTGTCAAACTACCATTCTGACTAAACCATTATCAAACTACGATTGCAACTAGTAACACAAGTCGCCTTCTGGTTCTTAATACTCTGTTATCAGACTTAAAGGTACTATGTCCCTTTTGCAGCTAACTTCTAATTCTTTAGAACTTTGCAGGAATTATGAATATGTCATGTATGTCCTATCTGTGAAATTTAAACGTTAGCAGTGTCCTGATATTCAAATTATGCAAGGAAACCCGTTTACTTGCTAGACTTCACTGTCAGACACTATTGAGTGACTGACTGGCTTTTTTCTTCTTTGGTAATAACATACATGAAAAGAGTTGCAAAGGATACATGAGCATTTGTCTACATCAATAACCCACTTCTTGTGATGGCCAAGATTAAACTGATTGAATCTTTGCGCAGCATAAAACGTATGACCATTCGGTACAATTGTCTGAAAATCAAGACTATTACTTTTGGGCTCTATAGCCCTAAAGTCGATTTGACAACTAATAGTCATTATTTTCCCACTTGAAGACATTTTCAAGCCCCACCTTTTTTAGGGAAGTTCTAAATAAGTATTATCTTTCAAATGCAGTTGGAATAATAACTTTTTCATTTTTGGGACCTGCAAATGGGACATAGTACCTTTAAGTATACAAAGTCTAATCACCTTTACGATAAGGTACTTCGTATACCAGCTCACCCAAACACATGCCTTCGACTGGTCATCTTGACCATTACTAAGGGTGGTCTCTTCGACAGCTGCTCTCAAAAACTTTGTCACTGGCATAGAGGCTGACCCTCTCCTATCTAATTAACACATCATTTCCTCCCTGAGAAGACTATATCATTATTACTATAATGATGCACACCTACATGGGTTGGTGTGAGAGGTATGTGCGTGTGTGTGGGGGGGGGGGAGGGGATATCAAAGAGGTAGGCATAGAAGGGAATTCCTTAGATAGGGTGGGACATGGAGATCCACCCAGTACTTCCGAAACAAAGGATTAACTTATTTACCTTTTAAAGGTAGTATTATTAATTTACTTAGAATTCTAATTGGTCTGTAAATTGAGGTCAATCCAAGTTTAAAAATACATCCCCCACAGATTCAGAATATGCTATAGGATAGAAAAGGGCGTTTGATAAAGATTGTTTTTAATTCGCAGACACTAATTTGAACATTTTACTCAAATGTTGTTGGCATTCACTCACTTTTCCTGTACTATTATCACCTGCCAATTTTTTTTCTTCTTCTGCAAATATAAATTAATTTACATAATTGATTTTTCTCTTTTATTGTTCAAGATAATATAAACGAATGAAAATCAAGCTACATTACTCGAATATCAGCATGTTCTCAGCAATGAGAGAATTGCTTTTTCGTGTGTGTGTGTGTGTGTGTGTGTGTGTGTGTGTGTGTGTTTCAATATTGAGGCTCTTATTTTCTAAATGAAACAAGCAGGATTGTTTGATAAAGAAGTTAATATCATTTAATTATTTCCAAAATGTAAAACTAGAATAAAACTATTGACCTTTTCTTGGTTTGTATGTTCCAAAAATACAGTTTGCGAAATAAAACTTTAGGCATCAGAGATTAAGTTACAATTCTAATCCTGGCACTGTGCCTATAACATAGTACATTCCTTATCGCTCACCGCTTTGATTGCTTCCAGAAAAATTGGCTGAAAATGACATGAAGAGTATGATGATATCTCGATGACTATAGCCCCCTTGGAGTGGCCCCGCGTTGAAACTTACGGAAATAATTAGTTTACAGAATGTTGTTGATTGGTTGGGGCCCCTTATGTGCGGATAAAGGAAGCCTGATTAGATTACTCGGCTCTAGACTTCCCATATTGGCATGGTCAGTATTTGTAATAAAAGCTAGTTTCTGTTGACCATTACTTGTTATTCATATAGGCGCAAGAAAGAGAGTTACTCTTTCATGTAAAATAATTAGTGGGTGCTTACCCCAAAATAATAATTAGTCATTTGATTTGAAGTCATGTTAATATTAAAACGATCAACAAAAGAAAGGAAAAAGATGTAAGTGAAATGTCATTTTCGATGTATGTATGTATGTATATCCACAATTTTTATTCATTATTCGACCATTTAGAAACCTATTGAGCGTGTTGAGGTAGTGTTTTCTGTGTCACTTCTCTTCAACAAAATGTTTTGCCATGCATACACGAGATGACATATACAATCATAGAATCACTTCTTGAAAAATTTGCCCTTAGAAGAAAATAATAAATAAATAAATAAATAAAAATGGACACATTTCTTTAAGTAAACCAACGAACGAAACGAATAACGGACTTTAAAGAGGATGCCCAGCGTTACTCTTACACCATGTACATCGCGCACGATACCCATGCAAAACGTCCATTTAAAAGTGATTGCATAAATACGTGATATATATACCGAAGTCGATATGATGAAGAAATGAGAATGCATTTATCTTCCGATAAGAGAGGCGGCGCCGTGATGAGAGTTAGATGGAGGTTGATGAGTTTCGTCACGAGTCGATGATAACAATAATTGGTTTGGGGGTTCCGAGGGAGAATATCTTCTTCTGGTTTTTGTCTCATCATAGTTACGCCAATCAATATTCGAAACAGTCCTGTATCACTCTGTTGGGTAATGGGATGAGAATAAAGGCCATTTTATTCTTGAAAGTGTACCCAATGCATAAATAAATAGGTTTTAAAAGGAAATAACGAATATGGTTATTCTCTTAAATTTGTGCAATACTTATAATCACAAATAATTTCATATGACGACAACATCATGTGCCTTTATAGTCAGGTAAATGAATGTGAAATGTTATAAAAAGAATAAGCATTTTATCTGTCTTGATATTACCGAGTCATCTACGGACAAGGAGATATGTCGAAATGTTAATGATTTGGAACATCAACCTAATTCGCGTGGTATGGAGAAAGTGTAACCAAACGTAGTTGAATAAACATGGGAGATGAAAGTAAGTAGGTAGATAAGAGTAGGTCTAGTGGTAATGTCCATGGTACGGCCAGCTCTCTGTCTTCGCCTACAAACTGACTCGGCGGTTCGAGACTGAGACAGTTTACCCGAGTCACTTTCAGATGGTGACTTTAAAGGTCTGACCCCAGACGTAAATTATCCTACCTGATTGATAACCGTCTGTAAAAAAACACAACAAATACAAACACACACAGGCCCATGGACTTAAGGCTATTGAAATGTCGAGTGTTTTAACCCCAACTGTGGCCTCTTTTTTAATAGGTAGGAACATATCTTTGTACTTTGCGAAGTTTACATCTACTGAAGATAAAATTTGTTCGGTAGCTAATACTCTCACTCTCATGAATGTCTCTCACTTTGTCAGATCTCTGTATTTTGGGGTAAGACTTTATTTATTTTTAATCATTTTAGGTAATATTAATCATTCTAACCTCGTCACTCTCCTATCCACCCTCCAGTGCCTACCGAGTCACAGTAAAGCGCATGAATGAGGTCGCCAAACGCTCAGCCGACTACCAAGACTACCAAGGATGGTCAATGCGCCCGGTTTACCCCGGCCACTACACCCAATCCACCTCGCACTGGATCGCTGCGGAGTTCGGGCAAGGGGAACTCCCCAATGTCTTCACAGTCGGGGATAACAGGACGTACGGGGGGTACCACAATGTCCCTCTCGCTCCCGGAAGCTCGTACGGGATCAGCATGTGCAGCGTCAGTAGGACAATGAGGGTTAGTATTAATGTTACCTTTATTCATTTTTAATCTATTTATAAGACCATTGTCCAATTGTTCGATGGATTAAATCATTTTGTAAGGAAAAGTGCACTGACATGAGGTCACTTGTTTCCATTTTGCATTTCTTAATTCACAAATTCAATTAAATTAGATCAAGAACCACTTGATTTAGACTGTATAACAGATTCATCCGATGCTTTCACCCTGCATTTATATAAAAAAGTTTGTGTTGTGATGTCTTTTGATATAGATTTTTAATCATAATAAATGGTATTTTCATGATTGTCCTTATACAAACTCAAAAATAAACGGATGTATACAGATAACTGATTATTTTTGCTTTCTTGAAAAATGGTGAATTACCAAAAAACATCGAGTCCAAAATGTTCTTTTTTCCAGAAAGGAGAGGCATTACGTAAGAATAAGCTTGAGTTGGTTTTGGGGGTTAATAAACAAATTACTTTTTGTATGTTGTTTAGGACATGGCATCAAGTTGCAGTCATCCCATCGAAGTCAAAGGTCAGTACTCTAAACATTATTATGAATGTAAAGCAATCTTTAAAAAATCAATAGAATTAAAAAAGAAAAGTTTGTATTTATGAACAAATTGATGTGTAAAATATTTTTGTTTTAATGGATTACTTTGGTCGTTAATGATCACGATATATTTGTATTTACTTTGAAACAAGTTTAGATGGATACAAAATCTCGATATTTCTGTAAGATGCATGGTTATAACATGGACGTACTAAGAAGGTCCATGATTATACATGGTGTACATCGGCCTTATTGGCATGGTCAGATTGGATTATTTGGGTCATGCTCTTCATTGTTCCTGGCAAAATAAATACTTCATGTGATATTATTCGGCTCTTTTATTTTTAAATAAGCTTGGCAGCTGCAGAGACAAATCTAAAAGCAACGCAAAGCCACTGGAACTGTGGAGCTCAAATAGCAAATATTGGGGGGGGGGGGCTGGAGAAGCTGGGGGATGAATGGATATTATAACCAACCGGCACATTGGTGGTTTCAATACAACATGGCGGTCGATTCATCATTCCAACTCGTTCCAATAATGCTGACCATACACCCGTGCTATGACGAACGCTCAGATGGATACATTGTAATACCCTTAACCTAGATACTAAATGGGAAGTCAAACACATTGTTTGATTTTACAAAAATGGGAAGTGGCGGCTTAGGCTCCTACATGATATTTTAATTAAGCTTCCTGTGAACAAAAATCTAGCACCAGATAACACATTTTAGGCAGCTTGCCCCTATATTTGGCGGGAAAGGGGAGGGATCCCCCCCCCCCTTATTCATGAGAGGCCTGTCATTTCCTATCATGTACATGTATTGTGTGCTGTCATTTAATCTAGTGTGTTGAAAGAATCTATTGTAAGTGACAATTCATACTGCACAGTGTGATACATCAAAAGCACACCGAAACATAACTCATAATTTAGCATACCGATATGAACTTGCATCAACAGTATTCAAACTTCACAAGTACACTTAAAAAGTATAGCAATCGTCACTGAAGTTCGAAAATGTCGGTGTTATGGTTAACCGAGAGTTCATGAGACCGACATCCCACAAAATTGGCATCGGTCTCGTATAGACTGTCGGTCTATTGAGATGTCCCGCACTCACATTGACTGACTAAATAACCCCCTCTTTGACCGAGCGTAGTTTTTTTTTTTTTTTTGGGGGGGGGGAGGGGGAGGGCTTTAGGAATGTGGTTATAATGGTATATTGCAATCAACCTTTGACGAGGATCACAGTCCTAACTGCCAAATATCGAGTTTCAAACCAACACAATAACAATATCCTGAACACGGCTGTGGTCCAGAAAAATCCAAAAACATGAAGATCAGTCTAAATCCTGGATAAGAATAATGTCTGATCCCAACTCAGAAGCCTCCAACAAAAGTACGTGATGTATTCAAAGCATAGTGCTAAAAAAAAAATCAGATATCAGTGACGCATTACTTTCTTTAGCGGCGTCAATATAATACGCAAATGAATCTAAACTATGACTAGAGAAAAAAATGTTGTGATAACCACGATTTGGAATAATCACCGGAGATACGGAGAGCTCTTTTTTGAAAGATTCGAACAAGGGAGTAGTGATTTTCCTTTCGTTTCAAGTTAGTGTTTATCAGGTTCTTTGAAAAGAAGTCCATTGTGCATTCGCGTTTGTATGCATCGAATTATTACACTGTTGTATCATTATTGATTTATTGATAAGAGTATTAATATATTTCTTAGGATGATCAGAAGTCGACTGATGTAATAGTTTGAAGAGCACATGTTAAATGAATTCACTCTGGTTAAATTCCAACGCAAAATAAAACTGATTGCGTGGTGGTGGAGTAAGTGTAGAACTGGGAATACTTCGTCTCATCACAAAGTTCATTTTTCTTCACGACAACATAAGGCTTACTTTCTCTTTCTTTTTCCCTTCTTGTTATGCCTTGATCACAGCCAAGCCCAACCCGACATCGTTGTCGAATGCAACCGTCTTTCCGAACGAGTTAAAGGCTGCCCTGGGCGTCATCCTACTCGTGGTCATGGTCGCAGTCCTCATCGTAGCCGTGATCAGAAGAAGGTAAGGACACAGCATTCATGAAATCGTTTTGATGTCATTATATGCCATCATAATTATCTTCGATCAATTTTTTATCATTTTGTATCTCTCCCTGTCTCTGTATCTGCCTCTGTCTTCTGTCTCTCTCTTAATATATCCCCCTCTCTCTCCCTCTCCCTCTCTCTCTCTCTCTCTCTCTCTCTCTCTTCTCCCTCTCTTTGTGTCTACTTTCACCAAATTCTCTTTGACCAGTTACGTTTTTTTCAAAAGTTTATTCGAAGGTGACTTGTCGCATATCCATTCCGAGCACATACGAAAGCAATATCGTCATTCGTAATACAGGTATATCCATATTTTCTCGAATTGATAAATGCATTTATTTATATGTGTAAGTTAAGATCACAATGGATATGCGATTCTTAATATTATCTGGAAAAATTATAAGATACAGTACTAAATTAATCGTTTATTATACGAAGACAGACAGTGTAACAATTTGCGAGAGAGTGTGTAAACTTCTTTTGGAGAAAAACATCATCTATACTAATGAATGCATGATTTTAGACGAAAAGGGGGATATTAACGATAATGGACATGCCTACTAAAATGTGATGTGTCAATCATCTACAAATCTTGAGAGAGCAATCCGAAAATCGTAAAGAGCCAGTGCATACCTTTCATCAATCTATCAGTCACGGAAGGATTGGTTATATATTACTAATGATTGATATGATAGGAAACTATTCAATGTTCTAAAGCGCAATGAGATTGGACACTGAAAGAGCAATCTATCATCGTAAATTAAAGATAATCATGATAATTCAGGAAGCGCATTAAAATTAATGATTTTCCTTCCAAGCTAGTGCCCCTCATTCCTTCTCAAACCATTTAAAAGGCGGACATTGTCATTAAATAAAGATATGGGTGAAAATTGATTTTAATGCTGGTCACATCCAAAACTAAACGTGCTTGATTCTCAAGCTAGTGGTGACAGAACCCTAAATCTCGATGCTCATACACGCATTGGATGTAAATAAAGGGTTCGAGAATTGAGACCAATCTTGATCTCATCTTTAAGACTGGTTACCGACCACGTCTTGCACCCTTGCGAGATATGCCGCATACGTTTGGATTTCATTGAGATTAGGTCACCAGGAAACGTGGTATTTAATCAAGTTACAAAAAGTGTGTCTTTCGTCGACTTCACAGACGAAATGAAAAACAGGAAATTCGGGATAAAAGAACTGCTACTGAAATACAGGAAAACATTTGCAGAAATCTAATGAATCTGTTAACACTCCACCCTGTTTTTGAAAGATATTCAAGCATAGTAATATCGATGCACTATACTTCAACCTGTTTGCTCTTTATCTCTGAGTGCACTCTTTGAAAAACATGATTGTGGGAGTTTCTTTTGTTCGGTTGGCAGAGGAAATGAATAAAAAAGAAAAAGAAACTAAACACATGTGATTATAAACTATTCATGCATAATTATTATTCTAACAATGGTTAGATCATTCTAAATTACTATTCTGTGCATATAATCATAATTACGAGGCGTCCTTTGTTGTTTTACCCCTTAATCACAACTTATATACTATTACTAAACATAAAAAAGAGAAATAGTATAATCCGGTAAATTTGTGATCGATCTATACCGCACAGCTATCTTCTGTTTTTTTTTTTTTTTTTTTTTTGTGTTTGTTTTGTTTTCTGTTTTTGTTTTGTGTTTGTTGTTGTTGGTTTTGTTTTTAACGGGGGTAGGGGATATAACAAACTTTATTCATTCGATATAACTAAGTTGATTGTAGTTTGTACTTTGTTCCAATATGTTATAAATTATAATTTGTAATAGGGATACTAGTACTGCAGAACAAAATATAGAGGGGGGGGGGGTTATAACAATATTAATTGAGATTACTGTATTTTGTACTCTGTAATTGGTTTCAATATGTTATATATTACAATTTGTATGAATTAATATTATTTATTGAGTGAATACAATAAAGAATATCACAAAACAAAAAATCTTCTTTGCCATTGTATTCCCCAGCATGCAATGTTTTTGGATGTTACGAGTCCTTGCTGACTTTGAATTTGATTTGTTATAATTCATATCTCTATGAGTAGTCCCCTTTTCTCTTCCTTTACTCACCTTTGATAATTATTGTCGTCATCATTCGACTAAACATCGCTGATATTTATTATTTCTAACAGTGGTGGTAATTTTAGTATGAAATAGACATATTTGATAATGTAATGTTTACTTTTCAAACACAAGTGTTTTCTCTTGACAACTAAAAAGATTGTCAGAGTCGTATCTGACATAGCAACAACTGATGTATTCAGAGTGGATTCCATCCGCGGAGATGCCATCATTCATAGCAGATGAATGGAATGAATAAATTAAGATACATCAATAAACAGGTCTATTAGTATGAAACAGCGACCTTCATCGGTACTTTGATATATAATTTTGATAATAATGCTATCCAATATTTTGTTTTTTTCTTATTTGGCGTTAACTTTTTTTGCTTATTTTTCTACCTTGTTCTTAGGAAACGACTTCACACAACTCGTCCCAAGGAAGGTATCGGTCTATCTGCCCTAGGTATGTAACAACTACATACATGTAGTTCATTTTGACACCTGTATCTGTAACAGTCTTATGCCAATTATAGGTCATGTCATGTCTAATTATATTCTTCATATTGAATATTTACATCGTTCCAAAACCAATATGATGCGATATTTCTACTAGCTAGCAGTTTCAACAGGGAAAAATGCGAGGTCCCTATACGATTTTATAAATTAACATTAATTCACAAGAACTTGTTTGGATCTAAACTGTCAGATGTTTTTATAAATAATATGTCTATTAAATCCATCTCCGTATTTTCATCATACATGAAAGAACTGTATAATACTTGTTCAACTGAATATATTATCAACCATGAAGCACTCTTTTGGAAGAAAATTGTGTTTGTGTTTCATTGAAAACATGGTTATTTCTTTACAACTCATGAAAAAACAAACAATCAAGTTAATATTTATTAATGAAGGATTTGTTATTGCGTTAGTTTAACACGGTATTCCGTCAGAACAAAGCTGACTAGTTTCTTAATTGTTTTTCAATCACAGAAAGCGGTGTTGAGAACGGTGCATCTATGTCTAACGGAGCAAGCACAACCCTGCCCGCCCTCTCTCGGGGGCAAGGCGTATACAAAGCAAAACGTAAGTATTCACAATGATATTTAAGCCCCACTGCACTACTTACAGCTACTTGCGCCCTCTATATAGCAAAAAATGCCTAAGTGGTGACCGTTGATCCCACATGGTCCCCTTATTCTTACGTTAATTGAGAGCTGATTTGATGACGTAACCACCTGTTAGTGACCATACAGGGAGAAATAAACCCCCTGGCCAAACTAGAGCAGATAGGCTTTAAAATCAGATACAAAATGTAAACACTGTAGCAGGTGTAATGTATAGCCTAGCCAACTGTCCCGTTCTCAAAACCTGTAAATCTTCCCTTGTAATTAATCACGAGTTACATAATTATGAGTATCGTTTACCTTATTACAAATCTCACTCTGCATTCATAACGCCTTTCTACAAAGTTTTTGTCATATTAATGACTTTTCAAGTAGGCTGGAACGTTATACAAATAATAAGAAAGATCAGTCTTTGCCTCTTTTAAAACAAAACGGTACATTACGCATCCGAGTTAGTACACGAGCACGCCCAGCATAGTAGGTAGGATCTGGCACTGGCGTCGAACCATTCGAGCTTTGAGGGTAAAGGGCAGAGGGGTGGGCAGACCAAAAGTGTTTCATCGTCTATTTTCCCCCACATTCATATATAGTTACCCACCTCTTTTATAAGCCCTATTTGTACATGAACAAATATCTCGCTGTAGAAAACTTTCTGATTGTGGAAATGTTTCTTCATTTTCAAGCAAAATTCATCAACACATGAGTCTATAGATTTGATAACCTACTACCCCATGCTTTCACTTCTGCAAACAATCTGTAAATTAACCGAACACCATCTGACCTTTTTGTCTTCCTTTAGCGAGAGGACTATCGGTAAACGCCCTGCAGAACGGTCAGAACGGGCACGGTATAAAACGAGGTAACGGTGCCATGAGACAACGACCCAAAACCGCGCCCAAACCAGCGAACCCCAGCGCCATGAGAGCAAGATGGCAGGCGCCACCAGCGGTCAAGATTGTTGAGTTGTCAGGATACGTGAAGGAGAAGACAGCCAATGGCGAGATGTGCTTCAAACTTGATTATGAGGTGGGTAAAGTTGACATGAGCAGACAGGAAAGTCTAAAACGGGATTATCAACATGATGTTGCCATACAGGATCACAATGGTCATACGTAATTCCCTTCAGTTACATATTAACAAAAACAAAAAGTGTTTCTTTTTTTTGGGATCAATATCCAGTCTTTACCGAGAAGTGTTACCAATCTGTATTTTGTATTTTACAATCGTTAATCCTAGTCAGCATGGTCAGTAAAGTTTTAAACAAGATGAACCGTTTCAGAAGACTAATTGATAGATGTCTTCGAATCAGCCGGCAAACTTGTGGTTCGAAAGTAACCAACATCATCTCCATATAAAAAATAGAGACTATTTTGTTATCAAAGTAGGATAAAGGGGAATAAAAGGATTGTAGCTTTGTGGTCAAATATCAGAGCGATGACATACTCTTAAAGCAACAATACATTTGTGTCAAAACAGATTGCGAATTGTGACCAATTATATTATTACAAATTCCTTTCATTAAACAAAAGACAAAAACACGTTTTATTGCTTTTCATTTTTACAGCGTCTTCCTGACGGTCAGATGTACACATGGGAGGTGGCTACCAGACAAGAAAATGTTTCCAAGAACAGATATATCAACATCATTCCATGTAAGTCCACTCTGTAAATCATGAGGTAGTAATAACAGTTAGATGTCCGCATGTCGAACAAATTTCGTTGCATCGTGGGGTTCAAGAGGTCATTTCAAGGATTCTGTCAGGCTATTGGGATCTACTCCTGGCATACGCCTGGTAGCTTACTTTTCGTTTTTAAATTTGCACCCGTGAAATAAGATGGATAATATGGGGTGCATTATGAAAAATCAAACAATTAAACAAAAAAGTGTTTTAAGAATTGCATTACGCTGTAAACATATACTTCATATTGTGTGTGCTGAAGAGGCAAAACAGAACTATGTAACATGTCCATCCTACTAAAATTACTCATATCTGTTACGATGCGTTCAAAATGTTTAAATTGAATGAATGGTTGTCCCGCTCAAAAGTAGGATGAACTTATCGTGCTAACAAATTCGCTCCTCGTTTGACTGGTGCCATTTTCATCATTTCTAATTTCATCAATAATTGACAGCTATTTGGACAATGTCAACCTTTATGCCTAAATGCCTAAATTTTAAATAATAGATAGAAGAGTAAATGGTAAGTATAGACTTTAATCCATGAGCATGGAACAGAAACACGTTTGACAAACTAAATTAGGATACGAAACAATCTGTGAAGTCACTTGATTGAACGATGATACAATATCCGCTTAAATTATTTTCAAAACACCTGCTTAAAAACAACAAACATATGTGTAAGAAATGCCCCGCTCAATATCTATCAACTTCATATGTTGAATGTGCAGCCCCACTAATTGAAATTGACGTGTTGAACCACAAAGTGTTTGGAACGGCTTCATTTCGTGACCAAATTTATGTTTGGGTGAAATCGCTGCCAATGTTGGTGATTATACTGATTTGCCTGGAAAAAATTGAACCCTCTATGTCTGCTCAGGGAGATTTAGCTCGTGTTTAGCACTGTCCATTTAATTCGTGACTAATGATCCTGTATAGTTCAGAGATGATTCACGAATAGCCATTCGTTTGGAGTCATGCCAGTATAGTTTGAAAAGTCACAACATGTTCAGGCGTATAAAGAGAGCGGAGCTTACAGTTACCATGACCATCTTGTCACTTATAATGTATCTTTTTAAATTTGTAGTTCCAACTTTACCTGATGTGTTTTTAGATTAATTTGACTCCTCGAATAATCGGCAGAAAATGCAGCAAAACATATATGGGATCACTTCAACTTCAACAAGTTAACAAATGAATACGAAAATAAATGTAAACTATATTTTGGTCACTTTGTAGACTTCCCAAGCAGTTAAGATATGCCATCATATTGTAATAGAGACGTATGCCAAACTTTATTACATTTCAAATCTATAAAACTCTAAAAACTATAAAATTTAAACTAAAATAAAGAACAGTATTATGCCAAAAAAAAGTTGCAGTTTTGTCGTCCTTTGTGTTGCTAAAGTGGTTTTAACCGTTTAATGCAAGCAGGTTATTAATCTAACGTGGTTAATAATAAATCTTATTCTTTTTTTTTCCTGCAGATGATCATTCCCGAGTTATTTTAGATACAGATCCAGATGCACCGCACGAAGATTACATCAATGCTTCATTTGTCAGCGTGAGTTTTCACATTTGCACGTCATCTTTGACATCACAAGAGTTTATCAACCTTTATAAAAGGCTGTGTTTACTGCTTTAAAAAAAAAAAATTTACTGCTGTATCATAAAACCAATGTAATACCCCCATTACCCACCGCAGGCATAACCAGCGCAATGTTTTAACCAAAGAAGAGGTCATCGTGCGGTTGTTATGCTTTAGTAACGAAAATGCATTTTATCGTCTTTTTTTTTAATAGGAGACGATAATAATTTAATAATTCTGCTTGACTCTTTACTATCTTTAGTAAAAAAAAAATTGAAAGACCTATGCACGATTTAACTACTTCCACTTTTATTAGCTGACTAAGTGCGGCCCCATATCAAGATCAAACCGAACAGTGCGCCGTAGTATGGGTACATTATTAATTATTCGAGGGAGTAATAATTCAGTTACCAATATCTTTTTTTACCTTTTAAACACAATGAAAAAGGTTGGCGCAGACGTGTATTCAAAACTGTTATTATCATTTATTCTTATTTTTTAAAGGGCTAAGCTCTCGAGCTATTCATATTTTGTCTGACATACAAAAGCTTTTATTGATTTAACTTAAATGCACAGACGCGGATTATTGTGATAATGGGTGTGGTTTGAGCCAGAATGTTTGAGTCACCCTTATTACTGGGTCAAACATCTCGGCCAGACAGATCCGTTAAGCTGTAAGAATAAATAATTGATTTCATTTTACCATAATAAGTGGACATATAGATATCTTTATAAGTCACAGCTCCATTGAACGATTGAGACTTTCATCGATCTGTGTAAAACTGCAGAGTAATTATAATAAGACATTGACTAACTGAAAGATAAACATTCGATTTTTCTTTTGATTTTCAGGGTTATCTCAAACCGAAGGCATATATCGCGACGCAAGGTGAGAACATTTCTAATTGTACCATGCGTGTATTGGATTGTATCCTACATGTTGGACTTTAGATCACTCAGTACTTATTGAATATCGATAGGGCTATGTCTATAAAACAAACATGCTTATGTATGTATATAACAAACAAAAAAAACGAATAACATGACTTCGCAAACTCTGTGATTCGGTAACTTTGGAATGGCTTAAAGAAAAAAAAAATCGGCTGCACCTGGTGCTTTTCCATGTTTGCCAAGCCTAAGTCACATTGTTCACCCAACTGCTACCGCCGCGTTCGAACATGTGCATCATGGCTAACATAAAACTGTTTCTAATTTATCCCTAGGTCCTCTGTCAACAACTGTATTTGATTTCTGGAGAATGGTTTGGCAAGAGAGAGTACCAGTCATCGTCATGCTTACAAAACTAGTCGAAAATAAGAAGGTAAGATAAACGATGTTTATATTTATATATTACTTTTAGAATACTTAAAGGAAGCATGATTGTATAACATTGCATTTGATGAGAAAAATGAACATTTTTACATCATTGGTAATGTTTCCATTTGTTATAGAGTCAATTTTTCCTAAGCATCTGTACCTGTGATAATGTCACTATTCTATAAAGATTGCATGGCACTTGATTGAGATTAATTTATTTTGCAACGTTTCCCCCTTATTTGTTATGGCAGAGGAAGTGCGATCCGTATTGGCCTGAAGACATCGAGACGTATGGTGATTTCACATTGACTGTAGTAGCTGAAAGGAATTACCTCAACTACACTGAACGTACCCTGACAATCAGAAAGGTAGAGACTTTAATAATGGATCCTAAAACTCCTGCGATGCCCCTAATTACAACTTTCACTGCAAATGCATGCTATGTGTCTTTGACCTTTGGCAAACCTTGCAAGAAATGTCCGAATATTTTCTGTATTAAATTAATAAATTAATAAAGAGAAAATGAATACGTTTATACATATTAAACATCAAGCATACCTGTGGTTAGTAAATGCAATATATTTGGCAGAGGACGGAAATAAAATTAAAAAAATTGAAAATATCAGAATAGCTGCTTGTTAACGAATATGATAACTTCGGAGTCGAATAGTGCTTTATGAATTAGCATTTAAGAATAAATGCGATGATCAATATGTTAGAATAAAACCCATAGTTGAGCCCGGTTCGACCAGTTTGGATGCTTATCTCCCCCCCCCCCCCCCCCCGATGTGGACATATTCCACAGAGTTTTCGTATAGCAGATTTCCTTGCAGCTACATATCGCTTCATAATTAACTCAAAATGTAACCAATCTTTAAACACTTCAACGAGACCAGTTGAGGCCTAAAGAATAAATCTGTTCTCTTGTATGGCAGGCATGGGACCCAGAAGAGAGGCGGGTACAACACTTCCACTACACGTCCTGGCCTGACATGGGTCTACCCCTCAGCGCCACACCCCTTCTGGAGTTCATCACCAAGGTCAAAGAGTTTGAAGCCCGGCCCAGTGGACCCACCATCGTCCATTGCAGGTAAGAATCACATTTATAATCACTGTTCATCATGATTATCACGGTCATTCTCAAAACGTTTCGAAACTATTGTGACCAGTATTAAAAAGTGGTATTAATATTTGGTGCAAGCTGTTCATTGACAGTGTTTTCATTAGAATAAATAGTGGTTTGGTGTTTTGTGCAAAGAGTAGCACTAGTACCAACAATTACAGTTGTCACTTGTCAGTGGCTGTTATGTGCGAAGGCATTTAGAATAGAGTTTAGACATACATTATTATCATTTCATTTTCGAATAAGGTTATTGGTCATCTCTAGCCGTTACTGCAAAAAAAAAATCTTCACAGTAGACGTAACTATTATTATTTTCAAACAGATGACCTCAATATTAAACTACAGTAAATATAAGTATATATTCATCGTCTTCCCTTGTCAAGACTCTTATTGTGAGATCATCAACTAAAAGACTTCACATTTCTTGTTTTGTTCGCAGTGCTGGTGTTGGCCGTACAGGTACCTACATCACCATAGATTCCATGATGGACATGTCGGCCAGGGAGCAGCAGATCAATGTACTCGATTTCATCTATAGGATGAGAACGAAGCGAGTCAAGATGGTCCAGACACCGGTAAGTCCTACCTTCAAGCTCTTTCTAAATCACAAGCTATTGCAAGTAACGTGTCATTCTCACCATGGACCTACTAGGTCCATGTTCACATACACCTATTTATAGCATGCGGGTCATGGACGCATTGAATACAACGGGTTAATATTGGTTACCTCTTATTAACTCCAATATTGTATGCTACTTTTATCGTCTGGCTAATTTTTTCACACCTTCTTTCGGGTTATTTGTTTGTATTTAGGAGCAATATGTGTTCATCTACGAGGCCCTTCTCGAATGTCTGCTCTGCGGCTACACCTCCGTGCCTACCAAGACCATTGTACAATACTTCACCAGACTCGAGCAAACCAACCTACACACCAAGAGAACTTTCCTTGAGGAACATCTCAGTGTGAGTATACAAACTATATTATCTGAAGACTAGTGGTTCAATTCACAACAACAGTACTAGAAAATCTGCAGGAGGACGTGTAATGGCGCGGTAATGTAGCAGTGGTCTGTAACATGGGGGTTCGAGGTTCAAAACCAAGTCGAAGTTCTAATGTCCTCTCACGAGGCATGAATCCGTATTGACCCGTATCTCATATTAAATTTAAAAGCACAGGTTCCCCGGTTTCTATAAGTATTTAAAAGTATATACCTGTTTTCTTAACAAGAAACAAGCCATATCATTGAAAACCAGACTCATGTTAAGTCCCGTACAATCCTCCCAGTTTTGAGAAGACGTATTAAATCTGGATTTAGTTTTATTGAGGCAGTGGGAAAGATATCTTGTCATCGTTGTAGTCTGCTAATATACATGTGTTTTTAATATGTCGGAGAAAAACCTCTTCAGAACGTTTTCTAATAGTCTATAGTATGTGACTTAAATTGCTGATTTCCTCTTTCTCTGTTGTTACCATGGTAATGATACAGGCACTAGATGCTATGTCAATCTTCTACAGTGATGTGAGCATGCAGGCAGGCAAGAGCTCTGAGAATCATCATAAGAACAGATATCCTGATAATATACCTCGTAAGTACCAAGTTAAATTATTCAATTTTCTTATAAATTACGAAGAATGCCGAATCCGCCGAAATCCTCACAAATTTCCTTTGAGTTAAAGGTAATACAAAGTTTTGGTATGGGTCATGAATTTGGTTCAAATGAACATATTGGAAGCATGTACGATCCTACAATATTCAGTGATCGCTGTCGTGGTCGAAATCGACTCTAAAGTTATGAAATTGTAAATAATAAACACTTTATGTTGAATAGCTCCCTCTCAAGGTCAAGATATTAATTAAGCTATAAAACAATGTTTATTGACTAAAATCGACCGATTAGCTATTCTCGTTCGGAAATGATATACCACAACTACATACTCTGAGATTTTCATGGTCGCAGCTACCATCGTACGGCCGTAGGAGCTATTTGAAATTTATCAAAATTTACCGGGAGCACCGGTAAATCTTTAAATTCAATTTTTCTCGAAAGCAGAAGTGTTTTAGGGGCTAAAATTTCTGGTGTTTTTAATTCATCCACAGGGGCATCCAAATGTATCAAAATTGTAAAGAATCACTATCCACCCATTTTTCAAAATTTCCCAAAACTTTGTATTACCTTTAATATTTGAGTTTTGAGGCTTCAAGAACAGCATTTTCATTCATCTTTATGATCGGAATAGCCAGTGATTGTTCTCAACACTTCAATCGGTTCGACCGATGTTCCTAAATGACTGTTGGAAGTTTTTCAAGCCTTCGTATTACCTTGCATGCACTTGATTGTGATAACAACGTAAAATCATTGCTTTACAAATATCATAACTATATACTTGTAGGGCCTATGTCTTTAAAAAAGGGCAGTTAGGTCTAATCACAACTAAATTCATACAGCCATATAAATGAATCAACGATAAGCATGATGACCTGTTTCGTTAGTATAATATATGAAACAATATGAATCAATAAGCATCAATTTATTTCATTTTTTCTTTCTTTTAGTTGACAAGTACCGACCATACTTGATGACAGGTTGCAGTGAAGGACAAACAAACTACGTCAATGCAACATTTTTAGATGTAAGAGTTTTTTTCCTTTGCTTCAGTTTATTCTCGTAAAGGCAAAATAATGAACAATAGGCTATTGAAAAAGAAACCAAAGAGTAGATGATGAAAAGTTAACACATATTACATTTTAATCGCCATGTTTTATTTTCAATGACTAGTTTCGATTTTATATTGGTTTTCTAAAACATATAACTTTTTTACATTTAAAAGGGAACAACTTAGAAATTAATTACTTATTTATACCTACCACAGTAGTTATCATTTACATGTCATTTTTGTCTTCTTCATGAAATGAGTATGTTGTACGAAATAAAAGTAAACTTATAATATAATTTTTTAAGCTTTTTGATTTAATAACAAGAGTTCAATATTACATTATAAGAATATAGCAGAACAGATTCGAAGCACTGAATAAAATGTCACATTATAATTCATTTTGTTATGTCTTTTCTTTCATTTAACAGGGGTTCAATAGGCGTGATATGTACATCGCAACACAGATGCCCCTCCAGCACACGGTCGAAGATTTCTGGAGGATGATCTATGACTACAACTCTAACGTCATTGTAATGCTAAATGAAATCAACAGGAACGATCAGGTAAGCGAAGACTGATGGACTCTGTTTAATCAAAACCCTTTATATTATTATTACTTTGTCTATTTACTTTGAGAAAGATGAAAACTCTCGTTGTTCAGAAAAAGCTCTACCGTACATCCATTTACCTATTCCATGAAGCGACGAAGATCAGTTTCAAGTTCGCGTCAGTTGACAAAATCCCAGAACATTAAAAATTTAACAATTATCATTACTACATGTATTATACTAATGCAGTGACTAAAGTGCTGTGGGAGCTAATTTTATCCAAATAGAAATAGTTGGATCTAGCTGAGCTGAGATGTTCCTAGTGCTGGGTTGGCCCGTGTCCTAAATATTGACACGAACGGTGATTGTTGATTCTGCATACAACTCACAATTATATGTGTAATCAAGATTGTATGTTTTGTAACATCATTGATGTGATATTGATAGTTAGGAGTATTGCTCATCATAAACACTCTCTTTGTCTTAGACGTGTTCTCAGTACTGGCCTGCCGGGGACGAGGCGCTGATTGGTCCATTCGTTATTGACGTATCAGCCGAGGAGAGGGAAGGTGACGTCATCATAAGGACATTCCTCCTGTCCAATACCAACACGGTCGTAAGTTTTACACCATTTTCATTCAAATCCATTCAATTCGGTTTCATTCTATTACATTCAATTTCGTTTTATTCTATTCATTACTAAATTCAGTTATATTCTATTCAATACTATCTTTGAGTTTTATATAACATCTAAGTAGATCCTTGTCATTTGATTGGAGGATTGTTGGTCAAATAATATTCAATAAATAATCTTTTGAACGAGCGTGCATTTTTGGTTATATTCGCCGTGCGTTTTTGTACTATTCAGCGTTAATTTTTGGTTATATGCGACCCGTAATTTCGGTTATATACGACCCGTAATTTGCTTATATATTTTTTGATATACTATTTTTTCCGATATATTTTAATTTTGTTTTGGATGTTACATAATTTTTTTTCATCCGATCAATGGTGCCAACATTTTCATTAGTTGAATAGAATGTTAATCTTTGAACTCATGAAAATATTCGCACTATTGAACTCATAAGCATTCATTATATGTATAGGCCTACTATATCGTATTCAGTAGGACCTACTATATTAGTTTATAATCTATTAAAATGATATAGGGATGTGGTTCATCGGCGCTATTGACTAATGGTTTCTATGTACAGATCTATTATAACCATTCACATGATACTGTACAATTATGATGAGAATTGTATCACCAGATTTTTATTTTATTTTAATGCTATACCAATCCTATCCCCTCCATACGAGTCAAATATATGGGGTTGTTCTCAGTTGAATGCATACGATAAAATATTTAGCGTACTGGCAGAACAACCAGGAACCTGTTCAATTATAACCTATAGTATGAAGGAATAACAGGTTTTTAAAAGTTCCTTTGTCACGTTTGTACTATTAAATTCGGCGAGGTAAACTTAAAATTAAAAAATAATTATTTTTTCAGGCTACTGAGAGTTCACGAGTGATCCGACAGTACAGCTTCGTGGGATGGAAAGAGAGACAGAAGTACCCCAAGAGTCTGGCATCACTTCTCTGTCTCCTGGATCTAGTCGAGGCCGGACAGAGAGATCTGGGTAATGGACCTATCACTGTACACTGCATGTAAGTATTCATCCTCTTCACCATAGTGTGAATTCGATGTGTTGTTTATTCGTTAATGTTTTTAGTGCTTTTGTTTGTAGCTTTGGACAGGGGGGAATTATAGGCATTGGTTCGATCATTATGAATGCAACATACATTGTTCGTGTTGTGTTGGTTGTGGCAGCAATAGCCTATTTTTTTCTCTTATCCTTAAGCAAGGTTTTTATTTCCACAATTTCAATACATATTTACATTAATAACTCAGCAGTGGGATATGAATCCATGCCATTTGTGTTGTTTATTTGCTCATTAGTTTATTATTATTATTATTATTATTTATTTTTTATTTTTTAGGGTGTATTTAATTAGTTGTTTTGCTTGGGGACAAACAGATATTGTCGGTGGTCATATCACTGAACACTGCATTTAACTCTTTTTATTACAAATTTAATGCTCTTTGTTTACCTTGTTTCTGTAATGTCGTTTGTTTACTGTGGCAGCAGTGGCATATGAGTCCTTGCTATCATGTTGTTTGCCTGTTCGTTTGTTTGTTCTTTGTTGTTGCTTTTTTATAGTTGTTAATGCGAATAGATAAAAGCAAGGATCCTACCACTATATGTATTGCATAATGTTTTATTATACTCTTTTACTGCGATGTCGTTTGTTTAATGGTGGCACCAGTGGGATATGAATCCATGTCATAATTGATGTTCGCTTATCAGTTTGTTTGTCTGTTTTAAAATAATAAACAAATTATTTATTACTATAGGCGTGTATAATTATTTCCTATGAGGATTCGTTTAGACATTTCACGAGTATTTTAGTTTTGCCTTGAAAAAAATTATCCTGATATTCATTGTTCATTTTATTTTTTTGCAGGGACGGTGTAACGCGGAGCGGCCTCTTCTGTGCTATCATGTCAACGATTGGAAAGCTGAAATCAGAAGGAAACATTGATGTCTTCCATGCGGTCAAGAAGCTTAGGAAGTGCAGTGGAAGGATGGTCCCCAGCGAGGTAAGACCTTGGCCCCATTTCACAAAGCCTTTTTTCAATGACAAACTACAAAAATCAGTTCAGTTCAGTTTATTTTTATTTTTGCACGGCACCAACTTCAGCCAAAGGCTGTTTTTCTGTTGGTCCGTGACAAATCTGCTGATAACCAATCAGAAGCAAAGATTTCAGGAGCTTATAAAAAAAAACTGTCATTTGTTACTGATGACAAGTTTTGTGAAACGCCCCCCTGGTGTTTCATTTTACCAATAAAACTGACAATTTTTTGTTTTATTATTATTATTATTATTATTTTATTTTATTTTTTATTTTTTTTAAATTTATTTATTTTATTTACTTTTTTTTTTATTTATTTATTTATTTATTTTATTTTTTTTTTTTTTAAATTTATTTATTTATTTATTTTTTATTTTTTATTTTTATTTTTTTTTTTTTTTGGGGGGGGGGGTTATAACTCTTCATGACTCTTCATGACGGCAGCCATACTTCCAGACTGTGGCCTTTTTTATTTGGAACCTATTTAGGATACTATCCTTGTTCTGCATTATAAGTGCTTTAGATGAGTATAACTTATAAATGAAGATAAAGCTTCCTTGTGAGGGACAGATACCAGCTGCAAATAACTTAAATATCTAAGGATCAAACGAATAATAATAAATGTATGGATATATTTGAAAGTTTTATTTGAAGTTACTTATGCTGTGATGAAATAAAAGAAGCGGGGGAGATGATAGTCTTCATTTCTTAAATTTCAACCAGTTTAAGTTCACAGTAATACTTTCCTACAACGGTGAAATCAAACGATAAAATGTAATCGAAAGATAGATGGAGAAGAAAAGCTGTAATGATGAAATTTTCTTTCTTCTTTTTCTAGGAGCAATATCTGTACATCCATGACGTTGTCCGAGAGTACCTCGCATCGTGTGAAATCTACGAAAACTTCAGGTAGATCGATCTCGGAATTCAAATAAACTCTGTATTATACGAGATAGCAAAGATACTGCGCACTTTTTAATCCAAGGAGGTAATCAGAGAGCTTTCATGTCCTGGCCAAGGACTCAACAGAACGAAGCGCTAATGTTTAATGACTCACAAGTGGAATGTAAAGTGTCAGTAAAGACATCATCTTCCACAACTCGAGAATGGGCTTACCTCTATTTGAAATTTTGCGAAGGATATCAACAACGTACATGTCCAGGAATCTTGCATTATGTTCGTAAGTTTGTGAAGATTTTAGCAGCATGGGTGTGAACGTAACGATGACATCGAACGGCCAAGTAGATATCATCATAGCACTTTGATTCAAGTTTGATTGGACGTTACGCAGTTGAACTCCTACAGACTCGCTTAGAGGTGTCCGCGGAAAGTGAAACCAAGGAGTAATTTTGAACAAGTTGGCTGATTGTTTTATCGCCACTGAGAATTGAACTTGTCGGTATCCATGGTAACCAGTGAATCGAGATGAACTCTTCGACGGTGGATAATAAATGCCAATGAACGAAGTTAAAGGAAATGTGTGTCACCTGGTGCTGTGTAAAGACGTCATTGTTACATCAAATACACGTATTTCATCAAATCTTCTATCTTTCTCATTTGCTTTTTTTAAATTAAGTTTATTAAGTTATAATTTGATATCAAATTTGGAATCCTTTTTATTACCATTACCGTCTCCTTATCTTATATATGTATATATAATATATGTGTTGAGACAATAATATTATAACGGTGATGTGTTAAAAAAAAGTGAAATACTTGGTAAACTACTCATCTTCTTTATCGGAATTATCATTAGATCAATATAAAACTGTTATGATTACTGTATTAAAAATTCAAGCACATTGAAATATTTGTCCTCTGGTATAAGTATTGCTGCAAAATGCTGATGAACCAACAAAATTACTTCGTATCAAATAATTGGATAAAACTGGCAATATTTGAGGTTTTCAATTCATTTTTTATTTTTCTATGAGAGTAAAGGTTAAAAGAGAGGGATATCACGAAGAAATAATATATATATCATCTGAATATAACTATAATCCTTCGCACAATTTTGATGATCATTTTTGAAAGAATGTGTACAAATGTTTTTTTACTCAGATTCTCCTGGTATGAGAATAATAATTTGTAAATTGTTATTATTAAATATCATTAATTGAGTAATCATGATGCAATTGATGAATATGGTTATTATTATTTTTGATGTACAATATCGACCAAATATTTAGATATGCAATAAAGAAATGTAAATATTTTATTATGATGTGCAATGGATCCTTACTATGAACAGAAAGTGTTATATGTATTTTATTAGAAGTCTGTCTAGTTTTGTAGAATAACCATTAAAACAGAATCTTATTTCTTTATTGTTGATGAGTTTAAGAAATGTAAATAAAGGAATTCGAATTAGAGATGGCCCGCTCGTTTCGAGAAGATATAATATTTCATCATGGTATACATGTAGAGAGCAGCTTTTAATGAACTTACAAATCACAACTGCGCTTAACCAAGATAACATAAATATAGACAAGCATTTTACAAATCACGTGGTATTTATGATTAATATTTTTCAAACAATTAACTTGGTGCTATAAGGTCGATTCCTCTTAGGCCCAATCTGTGTTATGTTTCGAAAAGGACAGCAAATAGTATGTGCCTTACAATGAACATCAAATTTTAAGTGCCTCGATTGGGCTTGGGTGCGCATGCGTACCTGTTTGAATGTTTGAATGTATAACAGCGGAATGGAGTACAAAGGATACTCTTTATCATGAAGTGCAATTGAAATGTATACAGTCTTCTTTGTCATTGGATTTTTACTATGAGAAAATCATTAAAAGAATGAAAAAAATATGAATGCCTATTTCTCCGTGTCATCATTTAGCCTATAGTATTATGATCGTATTATCATTCTATTTCATTACATAAAAATAGGTAGAAATGACTGTATATTATATTAAAATAAGTTTGGAAAAAAGTAGTTTACTAAGATATTGACTAATTGTCATTATAGCACCAAACAAAGAAGAAGAAGAATATCATAATGATTATATTTGTGCTGTTTATTTCATCTATTGGATACCTTAATACTCTCTTCCGTTTTTATCTAATTTTATCCAATATGACAGGACAACAATTTAAGCTGTGCTTATCACGACCCCCTTTTCTATGTATACTTTTTAACAAGCTTACTTTTTAAAATCATACAAAATCTGACGATGTATATGGAAACAAATAAACATTATAATTATATATTTAAATTGATCACAGCCAACAGCTGAATAAAGGATTCTTTTATTATATTCAGTAAAATTTCAAAAAATACATATATCGTAAAACTATTGCTGAATTGTTCTCAACTTCAAAAGCCTGTGTAATTTTCTTGTAATTTTTTTAATCGTAGGATGGCAAGTAAAGGTCATGGATTAGGTAGGCATATGCAACGAATCGTCGACAACCATGTCAGGAAGCCGATAAATCGTTTTACAAACCCATGATTAGCCACAAATTCATGATTTCGATACTATCAATTTAATTCAATTCAATTCACATTTATTCGGCAAAAGAAAAAAATCTAAATGAAATCATTACAAATAACGGGACTGCCAAAATAAGTTAAAAACTTGTAAACAAGCAACGCCAAACATAAAAACATACAGATATAATACATGGAAAATATCTAGAGAAACACCTACACGAAAATCATCATCATCTTCATTGATTTGCAATTAAAGACTTTTCTATCTTCGGCTACTTTTCTATGGTAGACCGATAAATGTGCACTTATTGACATTTATTTTATTTACTAGTAAAGGCATCATAAATGCTTGTCGCATAAGTGACACGTCTCAGGGAGTAAATTTAATCCCCAATGTACGGAGCTTATTATTTTACTCCCTTTAAGGAGTGAAGTTTGCCCCCAATGGTGCTTAATTAACACCTTTTGGTTCCATTTTCATGACAAATCGGTTCAAATTTACACCCGTGGGGTTGAATTTTTATACCCTATGATCGATTCCACACCCCTCTTATGCACAGCATCAACCAAATTATTGATCATCCCTCGAGCAATCAATCATCCATGCTTCGTAATCACCAAACAATCACTGATTCTCACCCTCTTGTCTAGGTTTCACTGCTCTAAAGAAATCAGACCAGAATCTCGAGTTAAGTGTCGAAAAGCTTTAATGCTTACCTAAACAACAGTTAGTGTGAACTCAACACAAGTGCAAACTGTAAGAACCAACTTAAAGTTAGCCTAGGTGAGGCTGGCCTGGATGGACGTATCGGATCAAATGTTGTGGAAGTACTTTAATACACAATCATGATTGCCTGAATATCTTCCCTTAAGTTACACGTATAAGAAGGCAATTATGTACTAGTTAGTAAAACAACAGTTATGCTAATTTCATTAAATTATCAAATATAGCCTTCGGCACAACCCCTTATTCTTGATCAGATAACTTTCACACAAATAATATGCCCAATTGAAACATGATAATTCCCCGAACATGACTAAAATATCTAAATTATGCTAATTTTCCTTCATTTGGCAGTACCTATATCGACACGATGCGCCATTGCAGTAGCGCATGTGCATATGCACTCACAACAGAAAAATGCTTACCTCCCTTGACCTATCAGAGCTCGTATGACTAGAATTACACCCCTCAAATGACTATTCTGTATGCCCTTGCGTATTTCCGTGTTTTACTCCCTAAAAGTTGTAATAGGGGGCGCCCTATTTTTCCAATTTCGTTTTACTCCCCAAGAACACCTTTTATTTTTCTGTGTGTAGGTTTTAAATGGTTTGGGTTGCGTTTAAGGACTAAGGTTATCATTAGGATTAAGACTCAATACGAAGAGCAACGGCATTGATCTTTGCTCTTATGTATCGCTCATCTTGCATTTACATACTCACTTGCCATCCTACGATTAATATATTCGAGAGCCTAACGCCAGTGATGCGACATAACGACATTTCATATTATTTTTGTTATTTGTATTGTTATAATTATTATAACATCCATATTGACAAACAGTCAGCTATGCTGGGCCGATTTAGTTTACAAGGAAGTCTGGAAAACTGAATTACAATTATTACGAACATGAGGGTTACAACTTACATATATAATATGATTATTATAACCCACCCCTTAAGTCATCATAAAGGATTTGAAATGAGTATTACCTAACCCTAGTGAGCGCACAGAAGTTATGCAAATGTAATTATGTTAAGCACATTCACAAATAAATAGTTATGTAAATAAAGTACTAAATGAATAAAGGTAAAGTAAAAAAAATCAAAACGAAGATAAATGATATTCATAATGTTTCTTTATTCATCTTTCAACTTTATGTTGATATAAAAGTCCATGATAAGACAAACACGAATCGAATGAAGGCAACTCGATTTTCAAACGAATGGCAATTTCATGTTTTGATCAATAGATCCAATCCTCGTGCACAAATCGATTCTGATATTGCTGGTTTTATCATTCGACTTCGATGATCAAATGGAATATCATAAGAAAAGATAAAAGAGTATTTCTTTTAGTGACGTAAACAAATTTAGTTGTGAGTATCTAAAGAAATATAACTGGAGGAAATTTGGTTTCGTTCTTAAAGAACTAAGGTCGCAAAGAATTTTCCCCCAAATCAACTCGGGGCCTTAATTTTTTTTTTTTTTAAGCAATCATACTGCCTTAAGAAATCATGTTTGGATAAGGCAATATATCTTTGTAATATTCGCACATTTCATTATGTGATGAACGACGCTATTGGATTTGCCTTATAGGTTGATTTTCTTCGAAAATCTTTGCGATCGGATTCACTGTATCTGAGTTAAGCCTATCTGCACTTGTTTGGCCAGGAGTGATTAGACCTTCTTGCGAGGTCACCGGTTATCTCATCAAATCAGCTCTCGATTAACATTAAAAAAAGGGGGATTATGGGGGACCAACGGGTACCGCTTAAGCATTTTTGGCTAAATAGAGGGCGCATGGAAGTAGATACGAGTAGTGCAGTCCCGATTTAATACGAATCACAGATGTGAATAACAAATCTTCCCTCTGTAGTGTATTTACAAATTGCAACATGACGAATAGTGAGCGGGTGAGGATCGGTATATGTCATGAATGGGGTTAGGTCGTGATCGTCGAATACGTTGATGACTCCCTGCTCGTACGTGACGAGGATTGACAGCGTTCTATTGCTACTCAGTCCATCAGATGGGTTGTGTTCCGAAGCTACCACACATCCAACCTTACACCGACAAATAAGATGAGCACTTCCTCCTATATCTACGAGAACAAAACAAAAACAGATGAAATGAATGCTTACTGTTGGCCACAAGCATTAAACAAACATCGGTGTATCCAGACATTTATAAACAGGGGGGGGGGGCACAGTTGTGTCCTTTTAAGCTAATGACCAACAGGTTCATAAATGATTCCACGGTAACATGGGAATTGGCATAATGGGGGGGGGGGGGCGGCTAAACAGGCTTTACTCGATGGATGAAATTAAAACCAACAGGGCCATTGGCATTGGTTAGGGAAGGGTGTAGGAGGCAGCGTCTTCATTCCCTTTTTATCTTTTTTTTTCTGGGCATTTTAGCCATTTGATTGGGGATCCTTTGCCCCCCCCCCAGACGCGGATCCAGGGGGCCGATCGGGTTTCCCCCCCCCCCCCCCGTTAAAAAAAAATTAAAAAAGGAGAGAGAGAGAAGGAAAGAGGAAGAAGAAAAGAAAAGAGGGAAGAAGGAGATCGGGGGGGGGGGGGCAAAAGGACTTGCCTCCCAGGCTGTTACCTCCCCCCCCCCCCCCCCACAATCAAAAAATAAAAGAGAAGGAAGGAAAGGGAAAGAAAAAAGGAAAAGAGGAGATAAAGGGAAGGAAAAAAGAGGAAGAAAAAAAAATGAAGGGGGATATCAGTTGCAATTGTCCCGCCTACAACTTGTGAATCGGGAGGAGGGGGGGGGCAAAAGGCCCTTGCCTCCCCCTGTCCCCCCTAAAAAAAAGAGAGAGAAGGAAAAGGAAAAGAGGAGAGCTAAAAGTAAAAGGAGGAGAAAAGAAAAGAAAAAGGAGAAAAGAAGGGGAGATCAATTGCGGTTAATCCCGCCAACAATGTGTTAGAAAGGGTGGAGGCCGAAATGACCTTGCCTCCCCCCCCCCCCCCAGCAAACCTAAAAGAGAGAGAAGGAGTGGAAGGGAAAGGGAAAGAGGAGAGAAAGGGAAAGAGGAGAGAAAGGGAAAGAAAAAAAATGAAGAAAGGTAAGGGATATATCAGTTGCAATTTTCCCGCCAACAAGGTGTAGATGGGGGGGGGGGGGGGGCAATGGTGTACTGATAGAGGAGGGGGGGGGGGGCTTTGGGGAAATAAAATTCAAACCTGGTTTATTTCTAATTCCATAACGGTGGTTTACAAATAATGCTGAAATGACATAATTTTCCGACATTTTTCCTCACTTTTAAGTAAATTAAACTTTTTTATGCGTTTGTTGGAAAATGACAAATTCCCAAATTTACAGCCAGGCAAAAAAATGCTTCTTGAGATGCCTACATGTCATGGCCCGCGGAACGGCGGTGATCGGAATCCTCGAACCCCCCCCCCCCCCCCCCCCCCCCCATTTTTTGAAAAAGTATAATAAAGAGAAATAAAAAGAAAGAGAGCAAGAAAGAAAAAATAGTTAACTGCCAGTGTCACATTATAATGAGGTATCAAAATATGCTCATCTGACCATGATTAAATGCTTAAAACCACGAGGGCTCTACCCCCTGGATTCCACCTAGGGCCGTAAGGCGGGCCCTTAGATGCTCATCTGACGGTATTTTAATGCCTAAAACCCCTAATTTC